TGTTTTCTTTTTTTCGTTTCTATGGATAAACTTTGAATAATGTACGAGGAAATGTCATGTACATTTACCTTGTTTACTCCTTAAAGTGTAAAATAATAAAGCAGGCAAGATTTTATTTCTAATAATGAAAAAAAAATTTATCATATATCATAATATTGTTATAGTATAAGAGATAAATTATATATTTTTATAATTTAAATTATATAAGTTTGAACTTGCTTACTATCGCTAAACAAGTGGATCAATGACTCTTAATCATGTTCGTTCATGACGATTAATTACACAATTGATTTTAATTTTAGATGATAATTATTTATTTATTTTTAGATTATATTTTAGTAAATATTTTATAAAGAACTTATTTCTTACCGTTCTTAGCAGTTATTTTACCAAAGTCCGAGAAGAGAGGGCAAGAGGAAAGACGTCGGAGCAGAGACGCATTAGCCATATTCCGAGGTTGCATGGCGGAACGCCCCTTTCATGCCATCCCCTCCTATCTTTGAATATCACAGAAAAGATAGAAAGTCCCATAGAATTCGCTGGCAAAGATTTGGAACCGCATTCTAAGTGTAAATTACTTAACAAATTACAACACTTAATCTCGCTTCTTTCTAGATGTTCCTTTTACAAATCTTAGCACTGAAATTTTCTTAGGAATGCTGTCCGATTATAAAGTAAAAATTGAATAAAAAAATACATGCTTTTGTAAAAGGGTTTTTTTTATATTTAATTTGTTTAAAAATTTCTTTATTCTTTTATTTGACTTTTTTTTATTTATCTTAAAGAGTCAAAACAAAAATTATTTTTATTATGACGATGAATTCAAATTGGTTTTATGTAACAAGTATCTATTAATATTGCTACGAAGAAAAGTTACCCGCTTTTAATATTTGTATTAATTATTCCAATGTGTATTTATGTCGTGTACGATTAAAAAAACACAGATATATAAATCTGCATCAGAGTTCAAACTATGCTATTTTACCAAGAGATATGCTCAAGGTTTCAATTTACACTTTAATCTACCATATATGTAAAGCATTAAATAATTTATTCAATGCTTCTCTTCTTTGTATATGTATTAAAAGATAGATACTGATACAAAGAAAATAATGAATTATAACTATTTTACATAAATTTTTCAATAAAAATATATCGAATTGATGAATGAAAGTTCATTGACATACTTATTTCTCCACCAGGTTTTTCTTCTTCTCTACTTACAAGATGGTAGTTATTTAAATAATATGCTACAACAGCCATGATACAAATATATAACATTTAAAAAATATGGGATTCCAATGAAATGCAACTACTCTTGATCATAATGATTTTTCTTACATCTAAGAGAAATCTTTATAACATCCGTCGTTTGATGCATGATGAAAAAATGAGTATGTAATTTGATGAAGGGAATGAATTTATATCTATATGATAACAAGTAAAAAGTGAAATTTTTTTCCTTTGAAAATTGTAAAATTCATTTGCACGCATAAAGTGTCGTATAAGAAAAACATATTTTTCTTCGTTGGACCATTCAATGTACGGAATATGTACAAGCATTGTAAGTACATTTAATACTAGCCATTATTTTCATTTGTTACTTCGTCTACTTGCACTTCTTCCTTTTTTTCAATATCATTTGTGTTTTCAAAGTTTTCTTCCTTCTCGTAATTTTCATCTTTATCGTAAGTTTCTTCTTTATCATAGGTTTCATCTTTATCATAGTTTTCATCTTTGTCTGTATTTTCATCTTTGTCATAATTTTCATCCTTGTCGAAATTTTCATCTTTGTCGAAATTTTCGTCTTTGTCGAAATTTTCATCTTTATCGTAATTTGCTTCGTCTACTTTTATTTCTTCTTTCTTTTCTATATCATTTGTGTTTTCATAGATTTCTTCTTTATCAGACTTCATAGAAACATCAGCTGGTTCATTATTTTCTGATTCTAAAGTCTTCTCTGGATTTGGATCACGATTTTCTTCTCCTTCTTCCGTCGATTGTTGAACTTCCGCTGTTGTATTTAACGTTGTAGATCCATCAAAATTTTGTTGATGTTTTCCAAGACCTACTTGTACTTCTATAAGTTCTAATTCTTCGATTAATGCTTTCTCCCTTCTTTCAATCTCCTCTGTAATTCAATATATGTATTATAATTTTTTTTCTTATTTATAATTTATTAAAGATTATTATTTATAACTTACTCGTTATTCAAGTACTTACCATGAAGTTCTTTTGCCGATTGAGCTAACAAAACATCAGTATGAGGATGTTTACGCTTTGGTACGTAATAAATAGAAGGTTGAGCACGCGTTTTAATAAACGAAGCAAGTGGTAATTGTGCAGCGCGCCAATCTTGAAATTGTCGACTACGCGCCAATTTTGCTTCTAAAGCACGAACTTCCGCTAATTGTCGTTTCCGTGATAAGAATAATTGTTGTCTTTCTCGACGTAATTCTTCCTTTTCTCTTCTTCTGGCCTCTTCTACTCTTGCCTCTACTTCTGCCTTTTTATCTTCCTATGAAAATTATTATTTTTATAATTATAAAATAAAATATTATTTATATCAATTAAAAATGTACCTTTGCTTTCAATTTAGTTTCCTCTTGTCGAAATTTTTGTAATGTACCTAAAAGAGCTCCAAACATTCGTTTATTTCTTTGTCTGCTTCGTTCATCTATTCTTTCACGTCTAATAACTTCCTGTCTAGATGGAATTTCTCTTGGAGTTGCTATTACTCTTGAAGACACTGCTGGCTAAAATAAATATTTAATAAATAATAAGATTTAAAATAATATTTGGAAAGGAATAAATTAATTGTCATAAAATCCTACCTTAATTACATTATCATCTTCATCAGCACTATCATCATTATTAGAAGGTACACGTGCACTTAATCGACTGAAAACTGTTTTTGGTTCTCCATTTGAACCTTGCCATCTTCTTTTTCCACCAGGTAATTCATTGTTAACAAAATCTGATATGACACGTCTTCTTTCTTCTTGTAATGGTCTTTTTTGTGATAATCTATTATATATAAATACACAAGAATATATCAACAAATGTATACAATCTTTCTTTTTTTCTTTAATAAGGTTATATAAATAAATTAAAGAAATTTAAAAATTTTTATTGTTATTAAGTTTATGTATTATATATTTCTATAAATAAAAAATGTTTAGACTCTCAAAGTGAGATCATATATGTATAATTTAATAAAATGGTAGAAATTCCAAATACAATATAGGTTATGTTTTTGGACAACAGTGTTTCATTCGAAGTTCAATAAACCATCGAACAAGATATATATTTTATAATATAACATTTTTCTACAACGATTTAAAATTGTATAAAAATAAATTTATAATTTAACCTTGGTGGAGGTTGTAGCGGACCGTTTTCTCCATCAGGGAGATCCCGGCCCAAGATTTTTCGAATGCTTCGATCGAGTCCTCGGAGGCCATCTCGAGCGGCTTCTAATTGCGCTTCTAACCTTTCGGCACCCCAGGCCTCTTGTGTATCTAATTTTCTCATGTATTTCAATTTTTTATCTTCACTAAAATCGTAGAACAAATTTATTTAATGAACTACAACAATTGTTGTCGAACCGCATTACTGTCGTGGAGCCACCTACAATTTCGTTCCTTTTTCCAAATCGATAAGTCTTGGGATTTTTCCTTACGCTTATAGATCATATTTCTAGTAAATTTCTTATGATGCCAAATAAATATACTATATTATTGGACAAATTTAAATATTAAAAAATTAGATTTTATAATATTTTGAAATTTATTATAAATTTATAAAATAAAAAAGAAATAATAAAAATGAAAAGATTGAATTTTAAAATATTTTTTATAAATTAAAATTATACAATATGTATTATTTAAACATATAATTTTTTTAATGTAAAAGGATATAGAAATAGATTTTATATAAAAATCAAATATAATTTTTATTTTTTATACAATTTAAATTTTGTACTTTTATTTAATTTTTATTTTATAATTATTTACAGTATATCTTACTATAATTATATTTACATATATAATTATATTTATTAGATTTATGCATAAGATTTATTGGCGGGCAAATTACAACCTATAGTACAAACTTGAAGTATAATATTGTCTTGTCAAGTGATATGTTTTCTTTGTATAAAATATAATCATGTTGTTTTCAATTAATTAAAAAAATAATAATAATATTAATTTCAGTTTATAAAATTAATTATTTTATAAAATGACAACTTTACAAAATACAGGAAAATTTCGATCTTTTAGAACAGATACAAAAAATGACCAAAATCAAGAAGGAAATGCATCAGGGTATTTGAATTTAATTTAAAATTTAATTATAAATTTCTATATTTTCTAAATTTTTTATTTTTATATTTCTTTAGTGATGCTTCAGGAAGTAGGTTAAATGAAGTTAATGAAAATATAAGAGTAGATGGTTTATATGGATTTCATAGAGTAAATGATATAAAAGAAAGAATAGGATATCTTATTAATATGCATGCAGTAAGTATAAAAAATAGTAGCAAATATTATTAATAGCTTTGTAATATTATTTCTTTAATAATCTTATTCTTTTGTAGACAGAAATTATAGAAGATGATAAAAGATTAATGAGCGGTGTTGATTATTACTTTTTAGAAGAAGATTGTACCAGATTTAAAATTTCTTATCCTTATAATCCATATTTTTATATTTTATGTAAAAAGGATACATATGAAGAAGTTTCCACTGGTTTAAATAAAAAATATACTGAACTTATACAAAAAATAGAAACTATTTATAAAGAAGATCTTGATCTGGTATGATAGAATTTAAAAAATTTTAAAAATTTAAAAAATAATAATTATGTATCTTTTCCTTTTAGCCAAATCATTTAATTGGTTTAAAGCAGAAATATTTAAAACTTTCTTTTTTAAATACTGTAGACTTAAACAAAGTAAGACGTGATATTATGAAAGCTGTTAAATTAAACAAGGAACGTGAAAAAAATAATACATATTATACAAATATGTTAGCAACTGTATTAAATTCAGATCAAGATAGAGGAAATCATAAAATGCAAACTATTGATTTTACAGATAATATTCTTGATATCAGGTAAATATTTTTCTGGTAAATACCAGGTAGTATATATAACAATATCATATATATAATGTATATATATGATATATAATATATATCATATATATCATATATATAACAATATTTGTATGTATTAATGATATGAATGTATTTGTGCAGAGAATATGATGTACCACATCATATACGTGTTTCTATAGATATGAAAATTTGTTGTGGTAGTTGGTATATTATTAAAACAAGAGGAAATGATGTACCACTTATTACAAAAAAAGATGATATTATCGTACCACCTGATCCAATCGTATTAGCATATGATATTGAAACTACAAAACTTCCTTTGAAATTTCCAGATGCAGATACTGATCAAATCATGATGATATCATATATGATTGATGGACAAGTATTTTTTTATATCGAAAAAATTTAATTTAATACTTGATATTTGAAATATATTTTATTCATATTTATAGGGATATTTAATAACAAATAGAGAAATAATTTCATGTGATATTGAAGATTTCGAATATACACCAAA